AACAGGCAGGCAGGTGCCCCAAGGCTGCCAGAACCCCAACAGGACAGAACCAGGGGCCTGGAGGCTGAGCCTGGAGGACACACTTGGGCGTCAGGGCGGACACGCAACGTGGCTGCTGGCCCCTGAGCTCACAGCTCACACCGGCAGCTCTGCTTGGGGGCCCCGCAGGGACTCGGCCGCAGGGCATCTCCCCAGCTGGGTGACTGACTCGGGCAGAGAGGAGCTGGGGCCCCGCTGACCAGGCCTCTGCACCTTGCCGTGTCCCTGTGGCCAAGGAGGAAGGTACGGCTCTAAAATCTGTCATGTGGAGGACACTGCCCTCTGCTGGAGCCAGAAGGTGGGGCACGTGTGCGATTCAGGAGGTAGAGAATCTCAACCAAAGGCACTGTCCAGTCTGGGTTTTTCTTTCCCAGCTCCTGCCCCGGTGCTGCTCCGCCCCACGCACCGTCTGTCCCCCTCCGTGAAGCGCCAGCCCTGGGCCCTGGGCCTGCTGTGAGGCAGACTGGGCATCACCCCCGTCTGGCCCTTGGTCTCAGTGGGACTGTCCGTCTGTCCGGGACCACCAGCGTGCACAGACACTGCCGCCCGGCCCGGGGGACAGGAACAAGCAGGACCTCGGTGCTGGAGACACCGTGGCAGCCGGGTGCTGCCTGGTGGTCACCGTCCTGCCTGGTGAGTGACTCCCTTCAGTGTTGCCGAGCGGGGACCAGGCTGGTGGGAGGGTTCTGCTGATGCACGACTCTGTGCCTGCAGCTCAAGGCGGAGGCCTGGCGGGGCTTCACTGCCCTGGACGACTCTTGGGCCAGCCTCCTGGACCTGCTGGAAGGCAGCAGGGCCTGGCGGGGGAAGGGCCCCACCCTGGATGCCTGGGTCGCCCGTGAGCCGGAGCACTGGCTGCAGGCACGGGCCCCCAGGGCCTGCCCAGGTGAGCCCCGCCCGCAGCCCCACCTGTCTCCGCACCACGGGCTCCACGCTCTTCAGCCCCTGTGTACTTGGCCTCAGGACTGGTCACTGCACCTCAGCATGTGGGCTTGACCCCCAGCCTCCTGAGAGCCACACGAGTCCCTTACCAGTGTCCCCCACCCTCTGGGCCTCCCCTGCCCAGCTCCAGGCCACAGGACATCACTGCCAGCAGAGACTGGGTCTCGGGACTTCCAGGGCAGCCTGGGGCTGAAGCAGCTACAGGCCCATATGCGCAGGGTCCTGGCTGAGAGCCCCCTGGTCTCATGGAGCCTCTGGTCAGCATCTTCCAGCCGCGGGACACAGGCTGGGCCCCCCGCTGGCCCGCATCCACTGGCTCCACCAGGAGGGCAAGTTCGAGGAAGTGAGTGTGAGCTCCCAACCTTCGAGGTCAGGGGGTGAGGTGGGCCCAGGGACACTCCTTCCTATGCTCAGGCCGTGACTCCTGTCTGCTTTCGAGGTCCACAGGGGAACCAAGAGGGGTCTTGGCTCCCCGGGTCCAACTGGAAGTATCCTCATTGCCTCTCCACTGCGGGGGCTGCTGGGGGCCTTGGGGACCAGCTACTCGGGGACCCAGCCCAGGGCCACACCTGAGGTCGGGGTCCTGGGAGCCCCCCACGCTGGGCCTGGGTCTACCCCACAGCACCCGCCGCCTTCCTCCTGAGGTGCCACTGGGCCCTCCCTCCACGTCAGCAGCACGGGACACCCAGGCTGCAGCTGGAAAGCTGTGTGCCAAAGCCACCTCCCCAGGACACTGTGGTGCAGCCTCCTGTGCTAAGACCTGGCAACACTCTCGGGGCCTCGGAGGAGCGGGGCCGGGGCAGCAGCCCCCCAGGAGCCCTGGGCACTGTGTCCGCGCCTCCTGGGCTCTGTCAGGAGGCCCTGCCTGGGCGCCAGGGGCCAGGGGCTACACTCCGGGTGGCGGCGTCTCCTCCTGAATGTTTGCTGGACCAGGTCAGGCCATCTGTGGTGACTCTGTGAGGGACTGACTCCTTGCGGGTCCTGTGGGCCCCCGGCCATCACCGGGCTCAGACAGAACGCACGTCCGCCGTGCACCAGCAGACCCGGGCCAGCCCCTCAGCATCGCACTCCTGTATTCGTGGGAGTTCAGTGGGAGGCAGAGTGCTGGCGTGCTGGGGCACAGACCACTGGTTGTGATGGCGGGAGCCGAGCATTTGGGTGCCCGAGTGAGGGGTCGCCTGCCCCCTTGCTGAGGAAGGGGAGTCACAAGAGGTGGCGTTGGAAATGGGCAGCTGGGGGGATCTCTGGGTAAGTACTGGGGCCTTGCCATCCCAGGGCATCTGTGGAGGCGGCTTTGTGAGCAAGGCTACCCCCAGCTGAGCCCTGAAGAGCCCGTGGGGACGGTGGTGCCCTGAATTGGGACTGGAACGCAGGGGAGCCCGGGGGCTTCTCCATGTGGTGACACGTGACCATCGCTGGGGGGAGGGGGGTGCAGCAAGCGGTGGATCCATGGCGGTGGGGACTCCCAGGGAGGGAGGAGTCCAGCATCCAGGCTCAATCCAGCTGGCCACACCCATGGCCGCCAGGGGCCTAGCCCAAGCCGGGCAGAGCTCTCGGGGAGGGCCAGGCACCGAGGCCGCGCGTGGGCCCTGCTCCCCGAGAGGACTAGTGTTGGAGGCCCTCTCCACGGCTGGGGAGGAGCCGCTGCAGGGAGGCTCCAGGGCTCGGAGCGGTGGGCCCTGTGTGGGTCACCAGCCACTGTCCAGCCCGGGGTGTTGCCTGGCGGCTGGCGAGTGGTGCTGTGACATTGAGACGGCCACGCGGGGACAGTGTGGGGCCAGGCTCCTGCTCACACAGGGCGAGAGGCCGTTCTCCGAGGGCTGAATGGGGTGGCTATGCCTTCGAAGAATGCAGGACGCAGGAGGCCGGCTAGTGTGTCTCGTCTTCTGTTACACTCGGGCCTTTCAGAGAGTGTCTGGGGCGGCTGAATGCGCCAGCCCTGCACTGCGAGGCAGGCATCCCAACACAAAGGGGGCTCTTGTCCCGCACAGGCCCCTTCTGCGCAGAGAGGCCATTGTCCCGAGCGGGCCGCCCGGCAGGCGGTGCATGCTCCAGTGCCCGCGCCCAGCCGCACGCGGGCCTGCGCACTTGGCTCCGCAGCCCCGCCGACTTAATGCAGCGCGGTATTTCACGTCCAGGCAGCGGCTGGCGGGATGAATGCCCGCTTTTGTCTACTTAGCTATTTTATTTACATTTTTTAAACAGCTTATCAAGGTAAAAAGATAGCTTTGCTTTAAAAAAAGAGGGGAGGGGGTGCCTTGGCTGCCGGCCCAGCCAAGCCGCAGAGGTGGGAGGCAGGCCGGGCTCGGGTCCGAGGCCATGGAGGCAGGAGGCGCGTGGGCTGTGGAGCCTCTTCCCACAGCGGCCGCCGGGCCCCTCCGGGTTTTCACACTTGTTTTCCCCCAGAGCAGCTGCTCTGTGGCCCAGCCCAACCACTGGGCAGCCTGCTGTGGCCCCTCCTGCTGGCCAGCTCTCATCCTCCCATGCGGAGGTCAGGAAGGCCTGCAAGGTGCCAGCCCTGGGCAATTCTTTTTTGGGGGGCCCAGGGCCCTCCACACCTACCGTGCTGCTCCAGATCTGGGGCCAGGCTCTGGGTCTGGGGTGAGTCACAGGTACCTAAGATGACAGGTGACCTTCCTGCACCTGCTGGGGCTCCCAGGTAACTAGACAGCAGGCAGCCAGGCCTGTGGGTCCCCTCAGCAGAAGCTCAGACTGAGAAGTGACCAGAGACTAACTCTAAGCCAGACCTGATGGCAGAATCATATGGACCCTGCCCCACCCCCACCTCAGCCCCAACATGGAGGCCAGGCCAAGGGGGCTTCCTGGAGGAGGTGGCTCTGCTGCCAGCTGTTTCCCCAGGTCACCGCAGCTGCCCAGATGGAGCCAGGGCGCCCTTCTGTGACTGGATGAGACTAAGTGACCTCCCCAACCCCCACGCCTGTGCCCTCCCTCAGCCCAACTTCCAGGCCACTGAGGCTGAGGTGCCTGGTGAGGGTGCCCCCTAAACTGTCCCAGGGGGTGTCCACAGCCTGCAGCCTCGGGCCCACTAGCCATACCCCTGCAGCATCCACACAGGTTGCCTAGCCGGGAGAGGGCACCCTGGGCACACGGAGAGCTTTGGCCAGGCCTGGACAGAACACTGGCTGCCGCAGGAGGGGGAGCGGGAGAGGACCAGGGAGAGGAGAAGGGGAATCCCGTCTGGCAGTGTCGTGTGTGGTCAGGCAGAGTGTGTGGCCCCCTCATAGGTGAGGTCTGAGCTCGAAGTTCAGTCTGTCCCTCCACACGGGCCCCGCCCTCCCCACAGGGCCCTGGACACGGTGCCCACTGTGCAGAGACCTGGCTGCAGGGCAGCGAGCGGGCGGGTCCGGCTGCAGCGGCAGGCCCCCCGGACTCCACCAGCTCCCAGCGGAGCAGGGAGTCCCGGCAGGCAGAGTGGGGAGCGCCGACCTGCGTGTGCCCCACCTGGATCACCTGTGACCAGGCCACCCCACCAGAGAGTTGGGCCCAGAAAGGTGATGAACTCTGGCCCTCTGAGGCGCTGGGCCCACCTGATGTGAAGGCTGACAACCCCTCCCCCACATTGTGGCCCCTCCCCTCTTGCCTCTCCCGGTCACTGGCCCAGGCCCTGGGGGGAAAGGCCATCCTTCCCCAGCCCCCTCTCCTCCAAGCCCAGGCCAGCCCCATGCACCCTCCCCTGGCCTTATGCCCCCTTCCCCAGCCCCGGGCCCCCAGGGGGCTGGTGCAGGCCCAGCTCCTGGACCCCCGCCAGGCTGTGGAAGCGCCGGGTCAGTGCTGCACAGGGAAAGGCCCCTGGCCCCGTGCCCCGCCCCTCGAGGTCCGGCTGAAGGCCTGAGTGAGCCTTTCCCAGGCTGCTATTTTGGTCTGTTCTGTGAGCCGTGTGGGGCGGGCGGCTGCCCTGCCGGGTGTTTTGCTCATAATGGGAGCGCGATGTATGGAAGTTATTAATAGCACGGGCAGTGCTACGTGCGGGCGCTCAGGGCCAGAGTGTCCTCTGCTGAGCGGCCTGAGGGTCAGGGTCTGGCTCCAGCCGCACCCACGCCCCGTCTGGGGGACAGCTGCCCCTGAGGAAGATGCTGGGCTTGGAGCCTCTTTCTCTGTGGGCACGTGGCGTGGGCAGCTGCCCCCTCCTGTCCTCCACCCCCTCGTCAGCAAGCCCTGGCTGGGGCCACCCGGGTTCAGTGCCCACCACCCAGGCCATGCCCCTGCCTGGGGGGCAGGGGGGCGTTCCTACCCACCCCTCCCCTGCGAGTCTGGCTCAGCGCAGGGGCTTCTCCGGCAGGCGCCCCCAGCGCCCCAGGCTCAGTCCTGTGCCCACACCCTCCCGGCATCTGTGCCGGCAGCCCCCCCACGGCCAACTGCGCCCCAGGCCCTGAGTAACCGCCCCTTTGTGTTTGCCAGGCTGTCATGCTGGGCACGAAGCTGCGGCTGCAGCCAGAACTGGACGTTGAAAAGGTGAGTGTCTTTCTCATGTAAATGTCAGGTTCCCACTTGGCTAAGGCCCAGGCCTGTCAGGCTCCCAGCACTGAGCCTTGGGCGCTGCTCCCCGCAGGGCGGGTGGGGGTGCCAGAGGGCAGGGGTCCCGTGTTACCACAGAACCGCGAGCAGGGGCTGGGGGGAGGGGAGGCGCCAGTGTGAGCCTCTGAGCGGTCAGCGGGCCCTCCTGCCCCATGTACACAGAGGGTCCAGTCTCCAGCAGCCTGCCCAGCCGGTCAGCCTCTGCCTTACGGTGGACAGAATGGTGTCCACAGGGGCTCCCGGGGATAGGGCTCCCCACAGCTTGACCTATGAGGCTACGTGGGGGGCAGGGAGGGAGGGAGGGGGCTTTGTTGGGGCCTGGTTCTCGCAGGGGAGTGGCTGGCAGTTCCCAGGCCCAGACCCACATCCAGGGCCTCCCTCAGGGCCTGCTGGGGCGCCCAGGCAGCTTGGGGGTTCTGTGGGCCTGCGCCAGGCCCACGTGCTGGCGTGCGGTCTGGCCCCGACGAAGTGTTTCTGGGCCACCAGGCCCAGTGCCGCTGGCCGGTCTGCACGCTGCCCTCAGCGGAGCGTTCCCCCCGCCCTTCACCACGGAGGCAGGCTGGCCCCAGAGCTGCAGGGACTGGCCGGGGCCGCAGCCTGTGTGTGGGAGGGTGCCGGTGTGCGTGGGCACTGGGGGCGTGCGCGGTGTGCAGCGGTCGCAAGCACCAGCAGGGTGAGTGCGCTGCCCTCTGAGAGCTGGGCGTTCAGGCTCCTCGGAGGGGCCCGGCCGGCACAGGGGCTGTGGGCTGCGGCCTGAGGGTGCGTGCCTCCCCACTCCCGGCAGATGAGCACGCCGCTGCTCCGCCAGGACAAGGCGAACCTCGTGGAGCGCTACGTGGACCGCTTCCCAGACCTCCAGAGGGGGCTGCTGGCTCTCACGGACTCCCGGTGCCAGCCAAGCTTTGACATCAGCGTCGTCGCCAGGTGAGCCCCCGCGGTGCCCCGTCAGCGAGGGCCCGTATGGGTGGGTCCGAGCCACGGGGCTGGGGCTGACAGGAGAGCGTCAAGGCCACGCAGCCCCTTCATCTGTCTTCCCTCCATGACGTCCCTCCGAGCGCCTACTGCGAGCGTCCCTTCTAGCAGTTGCAGAGAAGGGAAGTACGTGTGTGCGTGCCTGCATCCGTGCGTGCGTGCACGCGTGCGCGACGCCAGGGTCCCTGGGAGCTGCAAATGGCAGCAGGGAAGCGTCGCGGCCCCTCCGACTGGGCACTCCGGAGGGGGTGGCGCAGCCGCGTCACTCGTCACTCGTATGCGCAGACGTTGTGCAGAGGCTTGTGCCCGGCGGCCTTTGCTTTCACGCTGCCTTTTCTGTGAGCCCGTGGAACCACCGACTCTAAACCTGTGCGTGCCCTCAGCGTGAGGTCGGGGGGCGGGGCTTCGTCCCGCAGGCCAAAAGGTCACCGGTTCAGTTCCTGGTCAGGAAACCGGCCTGGGTCACAGGTTTGGCCCCTGATGGGCGCGTGTGAGGCGACCAACAGACGTTCCTCTCTGACGGCGAAGTTTCTCTCCCTCTCTTTCTCCCTCCCTTCCACTCTCTCCAAAATTAAATATCTAAATTTTTTTTTAAAACCGCGTGTGTGACAGAAATGAAACCTGAAGGCATTCACTTAAAAAGGAAGCAGGGCTGGGCAGGAACCGCGTCTCTCTCCCGCAGACATACCCGAAGCTGAGACTGCGAGGGCGGCACGGCAGGTCCAGGACCCCGTGACGCCCGCGCCAGAGCCCCAGCGCTCGGGGGTGGGGCCAGCGCGGCCCGGAACCCACCACGTGCAGTCTCCTTCCTGCCTCCTGCCTGCTCCTGCTCCGCAGCTGCTCCGGGCCTGGGCAAAGAGCAGGCGATGGGGCTGTCAGCCCCTCTGCCCACCTGGGGCCGCTGCTGGGAGTCCAGGCCTCTGGGTGAGGGCCGTTGAAGCTGCCCCTGCACTGTGCCCACCCCCAGTGCCCCCCTACCCTGCTCCCGTCCTCTGCATTCACGGGCAACCGCGCCTTTTGCTCACCTCCGAGCTAAGGTCCTACGGATGGTGTTTTGAGGACCGAGCTTGTTTATTAGACTGTGGGAATTCTGTCCAATTCCTCATTGAAATTGTGGGTCGGGAATGGACGTTGAATGGCATCGCATCCTCTTTCTGCCTCTCGGGGGGGACGCGCTCTGTCCTGCTGGGTCTGTGACTAGGGCAGCCAGCCTCGCATCCTGGTCGCGGACCAGCCAGGCCGTCGGCCTGCTTCTCCTGGATCGTGCGCTTCGCATCTGTGCTCCTGACAGACTCCCCCCGTCCAGGGCTGTGCTTCGGTGGAGCGGGCCCCCAAGCATGAAACAGGCAGAGGCCTGCCCTCCGAGCTAGAATTGCTTCTTCCTCAGGAGTCGGGCAGAGGTCGCCTGTGAGCCTGGCTCCTCTTTGCGACAATGAGGCTACGGCTTTGTCTCAACTGGGGGGGGGGGGCTTGTTATTTGGGGGGGATTCGTCTGTGTGGTTTTCACAAGGTCCCCTTGCTATTTTTCAAACGTCTGCAGACAGCTGATTCTGTAGGTTAGCTATCAGGGCTTCTCTTTTTTTATTTTCATTTCGCTTGACCAGTCTCACTGGTCCAGAAGTGTTAGCTTTTTCAAAGAACTAACTTTTGGCCTTTTCCTCCAACTTTTTTGGAGATAGAATTGGCATGTAGCATTGTACTGGTTTCAGGTATATAAAGGGGGGGCCCCCCCAAATGGGGTTGTCTTCTGGAGGGCAGGCCTCTTGTGGAACAAGCTTCCTGCACTGGGCCAACGTTCCGGGAGCCTGTCTGGGTCAGGGCACCAGCTGGTGTTGCTGTGAGAGGCTGCATTTGGCTTTGTCAAACTTTTCTGACAATTCTTTCACCACTTTTGCCCATTTCACAACCGGTGATTTAGGAGCGTACCTGCCCACACCACGTGGAGTGCTCAGCAGATATTGATCAAAAATCGGCAGGGCCTGGTGCCCACCCTCCCTGCTCACCTGATCTCACCCTGAGCAATGTTTTTTGTTTCCCCGGGTGAAACAAGTCCTCAAAGGGAAACGTTCTGTGAATGTGGAAGAGGTGAAACAAAAAATGGCAGAGGCACTAAAAGGCATCAACATCAGTGAGTTCAAAAACTGTTTTGAGCAGCTGAAAAATCTCCATAGGGGTTTGCACCCAATGAGAGTACGTTAGCGGTGGCTGAAGTCCAAACACGTGACAGTAAATACACAACTTTTTATAAACGACTTCTGCCGGGGTCCAGCCTCGGCAGGGTTCAGGGTCCCTGAAGGGTGGACGGCGCAGGCGAATGACGAGTCAGACGCCCAATCGGATGCCGGAGAACAGCCAGCCTCTGTGGGACTGACCGAACTCGTAGAGTTTGATTTAGGCTTTATTTTTATAGAGATTGTTGTATAACATTAAAGGAACAGGTGCATGGTGTGATCAGTTAAGCAGAAAAAACCAAGACAGAGGTAACCAGGAAAAGTACAAGAATTTCCATAGTTTCAGTTATGTTAAACAAAAGTTGTTTTGACCAGGAGCACCATTAATCAGGCAATTTGAATTACCTCTATGTACAGAGTTTGAATGTCTTATTGTTTATTAAAGGTCTTAGAATTTAACATGGGGCAAAAAGGTACGCTAGACCGAGCAGAGATTAGGAAACTCATTATAAGCCTTTGTGATGTCTGACTTAGCTATCTATCTTTCTGTCCAAAATGTTTCTCTATGTACTATGGACTCTAACTCCTTGGTAATTGTATCTACATGCTTAGTTTATAGTATCTAACAAGCTTCTCCTGTCTCTTTGCCTGCTAAATTCTAATTAATATATATTCCTCTTCAAGGTAAAGGAGGGGCTGTTACTCCAACAACGTTTAAACATTCAGGGGCTCTTTCATTAGAGGGAACTTTGTTCTCCGGTCAAGAAATTATTTTGTACAACTTCATTGGAATTATGCGAATCAATGAACCTGAAACACAGGTGTCTAACAATCCCACCACCTTCTGGTCACCCAAACAAACATGTAAAGAGAGACAGACAGGAAATCCAGCCACAGGTGCCTCTGCCTTGCAGATGCATCTCAACCGTCCTGACCTTGTCAAGGGACGGTTGCCGGCCGGCTCCCGACAGACTTCGCATTTTTGGGTGCCCCCTCGCACAACGCTAGGATCCGATACTTGTGTGTGTTGTGAAGTGGTCTCCATCCGTCCATCAGCTACGCAGCCACACATTTTTTCTTGTGATGGGAACTCCCAACACCTCTGTGACGTGGGATCAGAACCGCAGTCACCACGCTGTGCGTGGCACCGGCAGCGTCGCTCTCTTTTCACTGGGGGTCTGCACCCTCGACCACCTCCGTCCATCCCTCCCACACACACCTCTGCAGCCTCCAGTCTTCTCTGTGAGTCCGGGCTTGTTAGACTGCGGGCGAGCTCACCCATGGGCATCGTTCCATCCGTGCGGTCACAAGCGGCAGGGCCATCTCTCTGACAGCTGCGGGTGTCCCCGCCGCAGGCCGGGGCCCTTCCTCTGTGTCCACTCGCCAGCTGGCGGACACGTGGGCCATCTCTGCGTCTTGAGGACCGTGAACGGCACTGCACCGAGCATGGGGTGCAGGCATCTCTTCAAGGTCCCGATTTTGTTTCCTCCAAATTAGTGCCCAGAGGTGGAGGTGCTGGGTCATACGTGGCTCCGCTCCTCACTGTTCCAGGAGCCTCCATGCTGTTTGCCATGGTGGCAGCACCAGCCGAAACCGCCTCCCCCCCCCCAGGGCACAGGGCTGACCAGGGTGAAATGTGTTGCTCGGACAGAACTGAACTTTGAAAGATGTCTCTCCTCTTTCTCTGGCTACTTTGAGGCTCTTGATGTGCTGCGGTTTCACGTAAGGAGACCAGTTACAGATCTCCTTTACCTACCTGCTTGGCACCTGCTGGGTTTAGGATGACTCTGGTGCTGGGGGCAGCCAGCAGAACCCAGGCCACGTGGGGAGAGGGTGGGGCACACTGTGGGGGCCAGCGGCCTGGCCTGGAGCCCGCTCTCTCTTTCAGAACCGTGTCCCAACGTGGCCGCCCTGCAGCACCTGAGCTGCGTGTGGTTTGCGGAGGTGTGCGGGCCCCCATTCGAGGTCTGACCCTGCGCCCACAGCAGAGCGGCTCACGCCAGGCTGAGCCCAGGCTCCCGGGACTGCCACTGGAAAAGCTTGGTGTCCCTTTGCAGGGAAGCACTTCTCAGGAGAGCTGGGTGGGTCACGTGCCGGCGAGTCTGGCCCAGGGAAGCCTGGCCTGGTGGGGGCACAGACCCACTCGAGGCATGGGGTGGGCGCCCCCAAGACAGTGTGCGTACATGTGTAGCCTGGGCGTGGGTATGTGGCTTGTGTGGTCCCAAAGCCCAGCAGGTTGGTGAGGAAGGTGCAGAGAAAGAGCCCCCCCCCCCGCCCAACAGAAATGCCATCTCAGCAGCCTTTCAGCCAAGCAGGGGGTGGGGCTGTCCCGACCTCCGGGGTCACTGCGGTGCAGGCATGAAGTGTCCTTGGAGAAAGGTGGGGCCTGGGGGACCCAGGTACAGTACGCACAGGGACCAGCCTGTGAGGAGGGTCACCTCCCTCCCTGGCAGACAGCACACCATTTATTGTCCTGAGTGGTGGTCAGGCCAGCTGTGTCCAGCGGGGGGCAGTGCTGAGCTGCCCCTGGAGTAATGGGGTGGGGAGAGTGTGGTGAGTCACCAGGGAGGAACTCGGACCCCAGGGCAAGGCCCGGAAGGCCGGTCCCCCCTGGGTGCCGAGGCCGGAAGGGCAGCGGACATCCTGAGGAATGCGGAGGGTTCCACACATTGTCGTCCGCGGGGGAACCTGAGGTCTGGGGAGGTGCCCCGCCCGCAGGCCGGCAAGCAGGGCCTCCTCGGGAGCAGCAGGGCCTCAGAGGCTGGGGGGGGGCTCCGACTCCATCCCTTCCCATTTCCTGGGCGCTAGGACTCAGCCAGGACTGAGCCCCTCGGCTGGGACCTGCCGGGGCGGGTTCCCTGGGCCGAGCTCCCACACTAGACGTGGGTGGGGGGCAGCCAACAAGCCAACAGACAGGAGGCCCGAGAGGCCCCCACAGTCCCTGCTGCTCAAGGGCTGCCCCTCTGCCCACTCTCTGGTCTGTGGGTTCAGGGGTGTCCCGTGAGCTCACCCTCCCTGAGCACGATGGCAACTGAGGGCAAGGCGAGGGAGGCGGGGACCCGGGAGGGCAGGGAGCCACGCCGCAGGGAGAGGGTTCCCTCAGCCCGAGAGGAGGGGGTGTCGGTGGGCCCTGGCAGACAGGGCAGCGTGGGGTGGAGCTTGGGCATGGGGAGAGGGACCACCGCAGAGGGTGGGGCAGGGACAGTCCACCTGCCGCGAGTGCAGGGGCAGCGGTGGCTCAGGACTGGACCCTGCACCCTGAGCATCTCGGTCGTGGGAGCTGCTGCCAGGCTTCAGGGCACAGGCAGCACCTCTACCCGGAGGCTGAGCTCGGGCTCAGGGCGGAGGCAGGGCCTGGGGGGCTGCGGGGCCCTGTGCCCTCTGCCCCCGGCAGAGTCAGGCGACCCAGCTCACACCCTGCCCGGTCCGCAGAGCCTGGCGGGGCCCAGAGAGTGCCTGCAGGAGCAGCTGCTGCAGTGACGGGGCCACAGTCGCCCACTGTGCCCGGGACCTTGCACTGCCCGGCCACGGTGGCCACAGAGCTCAGCTGGCTCAGGCTCCAAGACAGGTGAGCAGTGAGGGGCCACCCGGCTCTGGTGGGAGCCCACAGGGTGGTCAGGCCCTTGAAGGCTTAGGGGTCAATGAGGGGACAAGACTTTAGGCCCCTGTTCCTTGGGAAGTGGCTCCATGAGCCATATATGCCAGTGGCTTGAAAATCAGTAACACAGAGAACCAAGAATGGGGTACACACCCCCATCCCCAGAATGCAGGTGTGCAGAGCAGCTGCGATGGGGGTTCCTCCAGGGGAGCCCAGTCCCCCAGCCACACTCCCCAGGGGCCTGCAGACCGGAGGGCAGAGGCATGGGAGGAAGACCATCGGACAGTCCCTGTCCGGCCAGGCCAAGATGTGCTGAGGTGGGGTGGGGGGGCACCAGGGACCCCAGGTGCCACAGTTGTGCTCCTCCCAGGACGCCCAAGGTATCTTCGGAGCACACAGAGGACCGTTACTACAAGCTGCCCATCACCAGGTAGGACGTCCACTTCCTGGCCCGTGGGCGGACCTATCCAGGCAGGAGGAGGAGCTCCTGCAGGTGGGCCCCCAGGCCAAGGGGCAGTTGCGCAGGCCGGTCGATGGACTTGGCTTCTTCTGTGCAGAGTGAGGGTCTGCCCAGCTCATGTGGGAGCTCACGGGCTGTCGGGCCCTCCCCACAGAGGCGCCTCCCCTGGCCTGGGCCCCGGGAGCCAGGCAGGCAAGCCCCGCCCTTCCAGTCCCTGGCTGCGCCCGCTCAGGCCCACTTCTGTCTGCAGCCCAGCCAGGCGGTCGGCCTGGACATGGAGTGGAAGCCCTCCTTTGGCGCCGGGGGCCGGCCCCAGTGTCCCTCACGCAGGTGGCTGTGGAGGGTCATGGGTTCCTGCTAGACCTGGCCTTCTCCCGGCTGGTGTCCCGGCTGCGCTCGGACCCGTCCATCACCAGGCTGGGTAAGTGCAGCCCCCGCCCTGCCAGGCCTGCCTGCCCCCAGGGGGGCTGCTGGAGGCCAGGGCACCTCCCTTGGGCCTGTCACCCAGTGGCCCCTGCACACAGGTTATGGGATGGCAGGGGACCTGAAGAGCCTGGGGGCCTCCTGCCCTGGCCTGGGCCACACACAGAAGCTACTGCAGGCGACGTGGACCTGCTGCAGGTACACAGGCAGGTGAGCACAGCAGGGCGGGGACAGGGCCCACAAGGCTGGCCGGTGTGTCCTCTCACTGCCTCCGGGCCTGGCCCTGCCCCTGACCACAGGCGACCAGGAGCCCAGGCTGCAGGGTCCCCAGGACGGTGTCACTGCATGTACCTCAATTTCCTCAGAACCAGCTCGATTCTGGGCTCTGCTCAGGAGCCCTCGGCTTGAATCTTGGGGGTTAAGACATCAGGGAGCCACAGAGCTGACCGGTGGGCAGTGACCATGGCCCTGAGACCCCAGCACACCAGCCTTGGCCATCCTTACCCCTCTGTCCCTGCAAGGACCGCCATGGAGCACAGGGCCTTCCCCAGATCCCCAGGTACATGGCCAGTGGCCAGTGGCTCTCCTCCCCCCAGGGCGGGCCTCACCCTGAGGGCACTGCCTTGGCAGATCTGGGTGACCGACATGCCTGCCCTGGGCATGGATGGGGCTGGGGGGGGGCCTCAGCCTCCTGGTGCAGCAGGTGCTGGGCGAGTCCCTGGACAAAACACAGAAGCTCTCCAACTGGGACCGGTAGCCACTGGACGAGGGGCAGCCGCTGTACGCAGGTGTGTGCCCCCTACCTGCCCCCCATGCCTCCCACAGCCCTGACCCCCCCAGAGCAGGAGGCTAAGGCCGACCGCTGTCCACCAGCCGCTGACGCCTACCACCTGCTAGAGGCGCACCAGGTGCTGTGCAGAGAGCCCACCTGCTTCCACCTGACCAGGAGCCTGCGGCCAGGACACGGCCAGAGACCAGGGGCTCGGGAGCAGCCCCACCCCAGTAGGCAGCCAGAGCCCCCCAGGGTCCCTCTGTAGGGTTCTCAGGGAGGAGGGCGGCAGTCCGCACCATGGGGACACGGTGAGGGTGGAGGCCTGGGGTGGGGCATGGGGTGCGGGGTCCTTCACAGGGAAAGAAAATGCAGAGTGTATCCCACCCCCAAGGTCCAGGGCAGCACCTGGCTGTGTCTCAGGGCCCCTGGAATCCTGAACCCCACTTCAGGGCGCATGGGATCCCCAGAAAGCAAGCAGTCTCCTTTTGGGGTCCGGCGTGGCTGGTTCTGTATCATTTTACCCATTCTCTGCAGTGCGTACATATTGCTCATGATTCTCTTTATAAAGTTTTGAAAAGAAGAGTGACCACACAGCCCTGGAGCCCACGCTCCCCACCAGGTCAGGGGTTGGGCGGGGCCTGAGGGGCACAGGCTGCTGAGTGGGCCATGTCGCAGGTGCCCGGGGCCCCTAGGTCCCGGCCAGGGCCTTGCTCGAGGTGTGTGACAGCTGCAGGGGCCAGGCGCCAGCGAGGATCACCACCAAGTGGCTGAGGTGAGTGAGGGTGCCCCATGCTGCCCACTGCGCCCCACAGCCCAGCCGCAGGGCTCTGCTGGGAGCGGGGCTGGAGGGCTGGGTGTGCAGTGGGGCGGTGGCCATTTCGTGCACAGCCCCCGGAGCCCCAGACACAGCCAGGGCCTGCCAGCTGGAGCCCACCTGGCTCCTTTGACACGGGCAGACCCTGGGAAGTCCTGTCCCCTGGGTGTCCTTTGGCACCTCGAGACACTGCACACCCAGAGGCCCTCTGTCCTCTGAGAAGCCAGGGTGGATGCCTGGTGTGAGAGCAGGGTGCTCTCCACTTGGGCTCCTTGCGCACCCACGTGGGCCCCACCGGCGGGGGACACCAGCCCCAGGGTGGTGAAGAAGCACCCTGCCACGTGGGCCACAGCAATTGAAGTCTGTGTCTGGTCCTCCAGAGACTTGTCTGGCCCCTGTGGAGGTCGCTGTCATCAGATACGAGGGGACCTACGTGTCCGGCGTTTTTCGTGCCTGTGTCCTACCAAACAGCCCGGAGACTCCTACTGGGTAGGGGAGACACAGGGAGCCGGGCTGCCCCCCAGTGCAGGGCCCAAGGCAGGGGGAAGGCTGCACTTGTCCTCGGTCACCGGGCTGGTGGGTGCAGCGGGGCCCTGGACCAAGCAGCTGCCTCCGAAAGCAGGGGCAGGATGGGCATGGTGAACGCCTCTCCCACAGGTTTACCGAGGTGTAACTCACACACCACGGGACTCCCCGACGCAGCAGTGGCTTCACTGTGCGCGCAGGCTGTGTGGCCGCCTCTGATCGAAGTCCAGAACTGTCAACCCTTGAGTGTCGCTCCTGCCCCTGGCTGTCTGCTTCCCGTCTGCGGATGCGCCCCTTCTGGGCATGTCATCCCGCTGCTTCCTACAACAATGCGGCCTTTGGGGGCGGGCTTCTCTCAGCACCACCCTGTCCAGGTTCATCCGTGTGGTGGCACCTGTTGGCACTGCGCTCCTTCCTGTGACCACGCAGGGTGCCATCGTGTGGACAGCCCATGGCTGTGGACACGGCCTTCCCATCTCCCGAGAGTGGGCACCTTGATTTAGGCGGGAGCCTCTGGACAGAGCCAGCAGAGCCCCCGTGGGCCAGGCTCCACGGAGCTCTTCCCACCGCGTGGGAAATGGTCCACGGGGGCTCATGCAGAGTTAGGGATGGTCCAGACTTCGGCCCCCGGGGCACAGTGCCGCTGGGACAGGCGCCCGCGAGTGGGGAAGTGTCTTTGAACCCAAGTGTGGGGGGTGGGGACAGGAGGAGTTTTGAGGATCAAGACAGAAAAATCCTAGAAGACCTTGGACCGAAATGCAGACGCTGGGGCTCCGCAGATGAGCGCTCTGCAGGTGAGGGCTCAGAGGCCGGATCACAGCAGAGGAAGCAGCATGCACCTGGGACACCTGCAGAGCGGAGGACAGACTGCGGGTGTTGTAAGGGTGTCAGGGCCCCGTGAACCAGACCCAGCTGGGACCTCTAGTGCAAGGAACAGGAAAATGTCACCGTTCGTCAGACGAGAGGGCCCACTATGCTTGTTGCGCACGAGCAGAGGCCTCCAGCCCGCGCGCCGCCCCGTAGCTCACGCAGGCGCCGCAGCTCACGTAAGCGCCACGCCGTCGGGCAGGCGTGCTGACGCAGACGCCGCTGGGGCCGTAATGCATTTTCTGCGGAGAAATTCTTTTGGGTGGGATCCGCCCCCTCCCTTTTCCAAGTCCTCTGTCCGCACCGAAACTCCACAGCAGATGAACGAGGCATTTCGTAGGAAAGGGTCGCTTCGGGCTCGTTCCTTGTGCCTTTTATGAGAACTATCAACACACGAGCGTGAACAAGGAGAGGGGCCACTGTGTGGGCTCGGGCTGAGGGCGCCGCTGCGCGAGCGGGGAGCGGAGGCCTCGCTGCGGCAGCCCGCTCCCTGCACCGGGGCAGGAACAGACGCGTGCAGGGTCCAGGTGGCCCGGGCACTCGGTGGGAGGACAGGGACGGCCTGGGTCTGCCTGCTGAAGTTATGAGTCAGGAGGGACACCAGCCGAGAGACAGGGAGGCCGAGAGGAGCTGGCACTCAGTCACCGGGACCTTCCCTACCTGTTCGGAGGGTCGGAGACGCTGAAAGTCAGTGACCCCCTGCAGACGCGGGACCTAGACAGCAGGCTGAGTATGGCCCCACAAGAGTGGAAGGTCAGAGGGCATGGTGAGAAAGGACCAGGGGTCTCTGGAGCATCTTGGCCAGACACGAGCCTCGGCCACCTCCACAGGAGTCAGAACTCGAGAAGCAGATCCATCTGTGATGAGGTGCTCCCACTGCCGCCCCCCGCCCCGGGTCTACCAGGAGAGGAGGCCTCACCGTACACGACCGCAGAGTCCCGGGAGCTGGAAACCGGACCAGAGTTCGTCCATCAGAGGACATCTAATGCAAACTGCCCGGCTGTCACAGGAGACCTGTCGCCTTCTGCGCTGAGCAGTTCGGTTCCGTGTCCTGCACGTGTTCCCTGGCCGTGGGGCCTCCTGCTGCGCCCTGGCCTTGTGTAGACACGGGGCACCAGCCAGCACTGCTGAACTGTCCCCGGGAAGGCCTGCTCGCATGGCAGGTCCCTGGCCGGCATCCCAAAGCCGGGCTGGTGGACAGCCCCTAGCAGACGGAAACCTCCACGGACCGCCCTGACCGCCCTGGCATCATGGGCCCCTGCAGTCCCTCTAGAGTTTGCAGCCCGGTCCACCCAGGCAGAGGGTCCCAGTGTGATCCCTCGGATGACCTCAGCCGCTGTGTCTCCCATGGACTTCCATGACAGACGAGGCAGTGCCACCGCAGGTATAGGGGGTCGTGTCCTTGTGCCCATGGCTGCCAAGTGTCCCGTCTGCACCAGGTCGTGGCTGTGTGCAGGACATGGTGCCAAGTCCTTTGAGGTCCCAGTCCTCTGAGCGTGTCACCAGTTTGTGGCGGCTCTGGGGACCCCGTTCAAGTCTGCTGTGGCCCTAGGGACCTTCCAGGTGGAGCCCCTTCCTCCTGGGGTGGTTTGGGAACAGCTGGAGGCGCTGGGCACTGCAGCAGGGCCCATCGACTCTGGGGGAAGCTTTTATCGTGTCGAGTCTCCCGTGCCTGAGTGCTGACGTGACCCTCCTCTCATGGGTTTGCCTCGCATTCGATCACCTGCCCCGTGACGCTCTGGCATGTGGCCCGTTAGGATTCTCGCCAGCAGGGTCCCGTTTTGCTGCCGTGGTAAATGGTGCCGCCCTGTTTCCTGCTGGCACGGGAACTGCAGTCACCACAGCTCCCGGTTCCCTGAGGACCGGTCTCCTCTCCAGAAACCTTACAAAAATCTCCAAAATTCTGCAAAACTGGCTGTCAGTTCTGTGGGGCTGTCTTTGTGGGCATGTGACCCCAGACGATGACAGCTTTAGTCCTTCCTATCCAGCGCTTACGTTTTTTTAAAAGATTTTATTGGGGGAAGGAGGGAGAGAGAGAAACTTCAGTGCATGGTTGCCTCTCATGCACCCCCTACTGGGGGCATGTGCCCTGACTGGGAATCGAACCAGCGACCCTTTGGCTCACAGGCCAGCACTCAATCCACTGAGCCATACCAGCCAGGGCCAACCGGCTGTGGTTTCTAATTTAAAGGGAGTATGTCAACACGAAGTCCAGGGGTCCCCACCACACACAGGCCATGGACGTCCCATGACCCTGTGTGGGCTTCACGTTCTCACTGTGAGAGGAAACTAGTCCCACCGAGTCCCTCGCAGCTGCTGGGGGGAGCGGCCGCCCCGCCCCTTCCTGTGTGGCTCCCTGGCCCTGTTCCCCACGTGGCCTCAGGAGCTAAGTTGCCGTCCCTGCTTCGCCACCTTGGTCCCTCGATCCCCCTCAGGAGCATGTCCGAGGTGGAACTTTCCTGTCACGTTCTTTCCCAGCCTTAGAGACAAGCTGGAGGGTTCCCCTCTTTTCCGTTTCCCACAACTTTGAGTGACAGGTGGACTGTCCCCTGCAGTGTCAGCTGACTTCCCGCAAAACATCCTGGGCCTGGTGCTTCCATCAGTGGCGTCTTTGTCACCGTGGCATCTGCACCTTCTGGGATGCGTCAGGCAGGACAGTCGCCAGGGCTCCGGTGGAGCTCGGGGTGTTTGCCGCACTCGCCGGGCCCGCCTGCTGCTTAACCCCTCGGGGGCCGGTCCTACCAGCGGTCCGTCCATAGAAGGAGGATTTGGCGGAGTTGAGCCTTTCCATCGAGTCTTTGGTCTCTGTCTCATTCATTTTTGTTCTTTATCGTTTCCTTCCTTTGCTTTTGTGGGGTAGTTTCCAAGTGGAGTGCTTAGCTCTTTAATTCTCAGCCTTTTAAATTTTACAATGTAAACAATTCAAGACCATAAATTCTTCCTGAAGTACTGTTTTCACTGCATTCCATCATCCCACAATGTATTTTCATTGGTCTTTTTAAAATTTTTTGAATAATTTTTTAGCATCTGTTATAATTACTTATCTGAAGGATGTTTCTTAACTTCAGAAAGCTCGGGGTTTGGGAGCCCTTTAGTTATCTTGTCCGTCAAAGCGACTTTCTAACCTTGCTGAAGTGTAGTCGGGTCCGCCTCTGCCCACCGGATGCTGGTGACTCCGGCCTCGAGGCCACGGGGTCCTTTCCAGCCATGTTCCCCGCGGACTTTAAGAGGATACGTGTTCTCCAGGCTCGTTCACACCTCCCTCTTGCACACTCACGCACAGTCACAGTCACACCATCACAGTTGTGCACACACACAGAGTCACACTCAGTAGATGGAGCTGCCCGCCTCGACCCGAGGGCCCTGATGGAGTCCGTGCGCGTGGTGACAGTGACAGAGCCGTCGTGCTCTGTGGGGTCACATCAGTGTGTGCTTTGTCTCCTTTACACTTAAGTGGTGAGGCTCACATGCACACGGTTCTTAGAATTCTTGTATTTCTGTTGAGTGAAATCTCATACAGTTACGAGGCGAACCCATTTGGGTCCAGGAAAGCTCTTCACCGTGAAGTCAGTTTAAGCTGAACTGTGAATGCCAGCTCTCCGGCACCCTGATTAGTGTCGGTACGTCCTTGGTCGCCCTCCTTGGCCTCCCCTCAGTCTCACGCATCAGGTGGGTCTCTCCCCAACTGCTTCCAGCCGGGTTTTCTCGACGTCTCACGTGACGGTGCCCACTTTGTCACTAGTTCGCCCGTGCCCGCACGTCGCCCGCCGCCGCCCTCGTTGGGGCTCTTTGGGCTCTTTTCCCTCCCTTCGTTCTCCCGGCCTCCCCACCCTTGCCCGGAAGCCCCCGATTCCGGCTCTGTTCTTTCGGGGCTCGCCCTGGAACATGCGTGCTTGACCTCACCACGTCTGGAGCTCACGTTGGTACAGGGTCTCCTCGGCCTCCCTCTCCCGCCACCTCCCCGCACACCTGTCACTGCTTTCAGTTCCGCAGGGTGGATGCCCTGCCGGCTGCCCGTGCAGGACACCCTCCGGGCGGCCGCTGTGTGGCCCTGCTCGGCCAGGGGCCTCCCCTTGCCCCGCCCTGCCTTGGGCCGCCTCCCCCGCATTTTCCGCTCCCTCTCGCCCGGTGGTGGAGAGTGCGGCGGGGTTTGTGCCTGCAGGCGGGCAGGACCTGGACAGGGGTCCACTGTACCTGTGGAGACCCTGTCCTGTGTCCTTTGTCATTCTCGCGGAGCTCGTCTGTTCCGTGTTTTCCTCTGTTTACTTCGTTGTGTTTGTTTTTAATTTTTGTATTCCTCACGTAGGTATGTATTTGTTATCACTACAAATAATCAGTCACTTGTTGCTTTTGCTTCCTTTTTTGTGGTGAAACAGCAGTGTGTCACCATAACAACATTTAAACGTATCATTCACCAGTGGTGCGTAGCCATCACAGTGCCCGTGTGCAGACTTTGTCATCATCCTAGACACCTTACGAGCGCACTCAGTCGCCCGCCCCAGTCCCCACCGGCCTGCTGTGTCCCTGTGAGTTCGACTCCTTAGCGCCGCATACAGCGGAATCACACATTGTGTGTCCTCTTTAAAATATATATTTTATTTATTCATTTTTAGAGAGGGGAAGGAAAGGAGAAGGAGGGGGAGAACATCAGTGTGTGGCTGCCTCTTTTGCACCCCCCACTGGGGACCTGGCCCGCAACCTAGGCATGTGCCCGCCCCCACTGGGAATCAAACCAGCAACCCTTTGCTTCACAGGCCCATGCTCAATCCACTGAGCTACACCAGCCAGGGCCCCGTCTTTATCTTAAAGAGAATCCTTCCCTGGCTGGAGTGGCTCAGTGGGTTGAGCGCCGGCCTGTGGACCAAAGGGTCGCTGGTTTGATTCCCAGTCAGGGCACACGCCTAGGTTGCGGGCCAGGTCCCCAGTGGGGGGTGCAAAAGAGGCAACCGCACACTGATGTTTTTCTTCTTTTCTCTCTGTCTAAAAGTAGAATTTTTAAATTTAATTTTGTTTGTAATTATGTAAAAGTCTACACGACTCTAAGACCATGTGAGGCAATGCCCAGGACTCAGGGCTGACCCCTGAGAGCTGACTGCTGGGGCCCAGGCAGAGGCGACTCGGGGGGACAAAAAGGCAGCCCCAGCCCTGGACAGCCATGAGCTCCTCGCTGGTGGGTCTTGCCTCTTGCACAGGTTGCCAGGCAGGAGGGAAGGACCATCCTGACCTCGGGGCTGCCGTACCACAAGGTGAGGACCCCGCCGGTGCCCAGCCTCTCGGCTACCCCCAGCTCGGGCCCAGCCGTGTGGCCGAGGGCAGCGGGGCTCACCCAGCAGTGCTGGCATCCTGGATGGGCCAAGAGGAGGCTCTGGGACTGGGGGGAGGCGGGGTGGCCCGAGCGGCTCAGGGCTCAGAGCCTGTGTCTCTCTGAAGCTCCGGGCCCAGGCCTGCGTGGGGCGCAGCCTCTGGGTGGAGGCAGCAGGGCGCTGAGGTCGACTGAGGCTGGCGCAGGGCGCTGCTCCCTGAAGGCCTGGCAGCGGGCGCGGGCAGTGCTCAGGCATTTCAACGTGCTGTTGCCCACTCGGACCTCTCCGGCCGATGCTAGATGGGTCCTGCGTGCCCCAGGGCTACCGGGGCGCCCCCTGTGTGGTGGGCAACTGAGCACATCCCTGGAAGGTGGCTGGACAGCAGAGGCCGTGGGCCGTGGCCTTTCTGCCCACCCGAGCCCCAGCCACTGCCTCCTTGCGGGGTTTTCTCCTCCCTGCCACCCCACACCCCCAACATCATATGCAAGGCGGGTGAGAGCTGGAAGCAGGTGGTGGTGGCTGCGGCCGAGAGTGCAGCCCAGAGTTAAGGTTTGGGGCCTGTCCTGCCCCCAGGACTGGCCTCCCTCAGGGGTTCTGGCTGGAGTAAAGGAAGCCCTTGAATTCCTGTGTGGCCAGGCGTGGGGTGAGGTTCCATAGGAGGCCCCTGGGGTTCACCCTGACATCCGGTGGGGTTTTGGGGAGGAGACCCCCAGGTGGGGGCTGCGTGCTGGGTCAAGAGCTGAGGGTGGCAGGAGCTGACTCACCCTGCAGTGAAGGAGTTCCCCCTCTCTCCCTCTTGCTGGCTGGGTGTCTCTCTGAGCTCTCGGGGCCCTGGGCCGTCTGGCTGAGGGGGAAGTGATGCAGGCTGGGTCTTGGCTTCTCCCAGAACACTCCGGAGTGTGGGCCACCGCAAGGAGGGGTCCATAGCACTGCCCCACCAGGCTCCTTCCCGCACCGGCACCCCTGGGCTGCCCGGGGGGTGTGAGGAAGGAGGGGCAGCGGGGTGCACACCCAGGCCCTTCCTCTGGGCTGCACCGACTGGAGACGGGCAGGAACTGCGTTTGCCGCCTCTTTGTCCTCAAACCAGCAAGTGTGGTGAGGACCCCAAGACGTCCGGGAAGCAGGGGGCACTTTAATGAGCTTCTCAGAGCCTCCACCGGGGCAGTTTTCTTGAGAAAACAGGAAGTTGGGAGCTGGGAGGAAGTCCGCACTGGTGACCTGGAAGCCGCGTGCTGGAGCGCGGCCTGCTCTGCACCAGGCCCACCTGGGCCAGGCCGCCCGCCCACGGCCCCCACAGGCTCTGACACAGCACCTGGGTGGGGGTGGGGCTGGCCCGGAGGCTGGGAGGCAGAGCACGTCCTGATGGCGACCTTCGAGTCACCAGAGGCGGAGGGCAGTGCCTGACGGGACGGCAGTGGACAGATCTGGAGTGCCCGGACCACAGGGCAGGGGGCAGGAGGCCAGGGGCAGAGGTGGCTGGCACCTGAGTGGCAGGCGAGGGTCGGAGAGTGCAGAACGCGATTTTAGTGGGCAGCCGGGTGCAAAGGTTTTAGGCTGAGCCCGAGTCACAGGAGGGTCGGCGTGGGGTCTGGTGTGGACGTGTGGAGGGTGGATCAGACACCGAGCCCTGGGGGGTCGGGGCATGGGGGAGGGGATGTGGCTGCCTCCGCCCATCCTGTTTGTGGTGAACGGGCCTCCCTGTCTTGGGCAGCTGGGGAAGAGGGCCCCCAGCAGGGCTGTGCTCCAGAGGAAAGCAGGCCCCGCCCTGGGTGGTAGACAGGTCTTTCAGGGGGATGCACAGGTATGTACCATGAGGCCTCCTGAAAGGCCAGGGTGGATGGGGGCAGGTGAGCAGAGAAGGGGGGCTCTGGTCTACTTTTGACCCTGGGTCAGTGAGCACAAGGCCCGGGGGGGGGGGTACGAGGGACCAGCTCACGTTAGGTTGTGTCAGCCAGTGGGTGGCCTCGGTGCTCAGGCCAGCGGCTGCATCCCCGTCTCCAGAGCAGAGGCAGCTCCCAGCCAAGCTGCAGTGGCCCCTGCACACAGGGTCCATGAGGGCCTCAGGCCTTGTCCCCACCTGCTCCCCAACGCCCCAGCACGGCATTCCAGCGAACCCCAGCTCAGCCCCAGCTCAGCCCCAGCAGCAGCTGGGAACAGGTGACTGCCAGCCCTGCATGCACACGGCCGCCCCCACTCCCGGCCCAGGGTTTCGGGGAGCGCTGCTGTTCTCAGGGTTGGCCAAGTGCACCAGGGGCCCTCCCACAGGCGGACACTGACAAGCCCAGAAAAGGTGCCCCCAGACGCCGCAAGGTGGTGGTCCAAGGCTCAGCAACCAGGCTGGCCACATGGGCCCACAGACTGCACGCAGCGAGGGCTGGGCTGGCTCATCAGCCCATCTGGACATCGGAGGGCGCTGGCCGGTAGAGAGCGGTGCCCTCGGGCTGACCCAGAAAGGGCCCTGCCCCGCGCCCCAGCAGCCTGAGCGCCTGGCGCTGGCTCAGGGCCTCCACTGTCCCCCACCCTGGCCGGAGCTGGCCGCCTCCCTGGAGAGCTCCCACCGCCAGGCTGAGTTTCCATTTCTTTTCCTTCCTTCTGCTATTTTGGTGCCGTTCCCAGAGGGAAAACCCACTCAGCGCACGGCGTTCCCAGAGCAAGCGCGGCCACGCTCGGCGCCGGCGTGTCAGGGGCACCGAAGGAAGGAGCGAAGGTGGGAGAGGGCGGCCGGGGCCAGGCCGGGCCGGGGTCTGCAGCTGGCCTCCCCCCGCCCAGCCCCGGAGCCAGAGCAGCACTGATGAGGCAGGTGGCAGGTGCCCTGGGCACTGGAACCCCAGCCCCGGGGCGCCTGCTGCACGGACACAGCCCGCAGAGCCCACTGGCTGCCGCTGGCCAGTGGGTACGGGGCGGTGGTCTTCTCCTGGAGGGCGGGCTGGGACCCCGAAGCTGGTGACCTGGGCCTGGAATGATCCCCCAGGAGCGTCTGCCAAGAGGACATTCCCAGTACTGTCCACCATGGGAAAATATTTTATCAAAGAAAGTTGAGCTTAAAAAAAAAAGCCTACGCACGAACCCCTGACGTGGTGGCCCCAGCGAAACATCTATTTTTACTGTCCCTCTGGTCCCCTCCATGTGGTGGGGAGCGGGCCGTGGCCTGAGTGGGAGAAAGGGGGTGGCTCCCAGAATACGGCGAGTGCAGGGGACTCCAGGGCAGCCGCGCCCCGGTGCCCACAGCCAGAGCCCAGACCCAGGGCAACCAGAGTGCCTGGGGCCTAGAGACCCTGCCTCCCCCCCCCCCCCCCGACAGCCCACCCCAGACACACGGACGGACAGGAAGAGGCTCGGGCACTGACCCCGCCCCTCCCTGGCCTTTGTGCTTGGCGGCCCCCAGCCCAGTTCCCACACTCCGGCCCCCAGGGTCACACAGGCACAAAGGCTGTGGGAGGGGGGCCGGGAGCTCCGAGGGGGGAGCATCAGAGCTCTGGCCGGTGCAGAGGTACCAGGGCTGTCTCGAAAGTCTCAGGGGTAGAGTGAGCCACCAGGCAGGCCCCAGCAGGACTGAGGCCCAATGTGGCCCAGACTTGGGATGCTGACCGGGGTGATGGCTGATGAGCAAGGTCAGCCCAGTCCCCAGGGCTGAGGGTGGGGGAGGCCCAGGCTGGTAAATGCATCCCCTGAGGCCATTCCAGACGCTCCGCACAGCCTGTGGGTCACCATCCCCCTCCGCCCTTCTCATCTGTCCCGTCCCCTCCCACAAGAGCCCTGGGTCTCAGCCAGTGCCCAGCCTCAAGTCCCACCTGATGGCCCTTAGGGGACTGAGGACCTAGACCCCACTGCCCAGGAGACCCTTGGCCCCCGGTGGCCCTGACCCAGCCCCAGCTGGGTCAGGTGGCAGACCGCTTCAGGGAGGGTCCTGGCACTGCTCAGCTAGTGTGGTACCCACTCCCTTCACGCTGAAGCCCTGATGCGGCCAGACAGGGCCGTTCAGCAGTCTCCCTGTCCCCTTCCTGTGTTATTCCTGGGACCAGCCTGAGCTGAGGGGCCTTCAGCGCCATCGCTGTACCAGTGCCCCGGGAGGGGGCTGCGAGCCCTCGGCCTGGTGCACCCCCTCTCTGCTTCCTGGTGTCATATCTGGGGACACAGGGCTGGACCCAGCAGTCAGGCCCTCTCCGCTCTGACCGCGGGCTCCCGAGGGGCCTTCCCATGGGCATCCGGGGCCTCAGGACAGGCTTCTCCAGCTGCATGGTGGACACCAGCAGAAGGGTGGACACGGGTCCTGCCTATGTCCAGAGGGGTGAGAGCTTGGAGTCACAGCTCAGAGGGTGGCCCAGATGGGGCCTCCCTGCCGCCCAGGCTGCTGTGGGGATGGGACCTCGAGCACACATGCCAGCTCATCGTCAGGATTCAGCCTGTCCATGTGCCCCTGCCCCGGCCAGGCCCGGCCAGGGACTCAAGATGGTGCCTCTGAGACCAGGCAGCCAGGGACCCAGAGGAGGGGTGGCGGATAGGTTCAGGAGTAGGCGTGGGCACACCGGCAACTCTGTGCCACCCTCTCAGGCTGTGGCCTGTCAGGAGAACCCCCGAAGCATCTGAGGACACGGGTCTTCCAGTCCCTCTGCCCCACTCACTGGCCCTGGCTGTGGAGCCACTGGCCGGCTCCAAACCTGTCACTCCCACGGCTCTGCCCGCAGCCTAGAATTGGGCTAGGGGCCCAGGGAAGGAAGGTCTCCCTCCTGCATGTGGGTGCACAGGCCTCCAGGCACAGAGGGGTGCAGGAGCGGCTCAGGGCTACGGAGGAGAGGTGCCCCCCCAGCCCTCGGGTCCCCGAGGCTCCGGGCTGGGGTTCGCAGCACACCACAGCCTTGGAGCTCAGTCACATGAAACTCAAACCCCAGCAGCCACAGATGCCACAGGGCCTGGCTGCCATCCCACTGCAGGGCGCAGGGGCCACTCTCCTTGCCTTGGGGCACCTGCAGCCCCAAAGCGTGGCTGGTGGCCACGGGCCTGGCTCAGGACCAAAGGCCTCTGCACACCCACAGCCCACTGGGCCCTGGGTGGAGGGAGGGGCAGGCCCGGCCTCGGAGCTGTGCTGTCCCAGCAGCTGCAGGTAGAAGAGGCCGTGGGCGGCTGGGCTTCCGGCCTGGGAATGGTCCTCAAGGTGGCAGAACAGGGTCTGCCAGGCAATGACAGATCCATTCGTGTCTTGACGGGGCAGGGACCCGTGGGGAGGCTCTGGTAGTGCAGGTGCTCTGGGGCCTTGTCCCCTCCCAGCCTGGGCACCTGCCCCTCCCCCGCTGCAGAGTCAGACAGTGGGGGGCTTCCCTCTCCTCCCCCCACCCCGCCCCCTCCCCTTCCAAGACAGGGGGTGGGGGCAGGGGGAGCAGCCTGGCCGCTGGGGCCTCAGTTGGGTGCGCAGGATGGCCCCAGAGGTGAGCCCCTGACAGCCTGGGGGTGGGGGGCTGCTCAGAAGAAGGAGCCTGTGAAGGGAGAGGCCTGCCTAGCCCAGCCTGGCACCCTCCTGGGGCGACGGTGCAGGTAGGGGGAGGGCGCAGTGCGGGATCCCTCAGAAAAGCGGTGAGAGCCAGGCCGGGGCAGAAACTGCTCCCTCACGTCCACAAACCTGTCTGATGGGGTGCTGATGCTTAGCTTGACTGGGGTCCCGGGCAGGGCGGGAAGTGGGGGGGGCTGGGACAGCCCTGCCACTGTGCTCAACCAGAGGCTGCCCCTTCTGCACACACACCCCCAGCCCCTTTGGCTCCCATGGGCCCCGCCCATCACACCTGGCTCCCCAGCCCCTGACCTCCCACCCTCTGCACCCAGCCCACAAAATCCCAGTGTAGAGGCTTCTTTCTCTAGGAAGTCCTCCAGGTGCCGGGCCTGATTTCAGAACACAGCCGTTCTGTGGAAGAGGACTCTGGGGGGAACGCAGGGGACGGGATGGTCCCCTGGCCCCAATGCAGCCCTGAGATGATGAGTTGGTGACCCGCCCCAAACACTTTAAGGAGGCTCAGAACTCAGGCTTCAGGGCCTGCCACCTGCTGCCCGAGCGCCGGGCTCCTCTGGGTCGGGGGGGCCGGGGCAGCCCCACACCCCCAACTTCC